AGGTGAGATGGAGCCTCTGTCTCAGCAGTCATGCTCAGCTGGCTGACAGTAATTATACTGGCTTGTCCTGCTACCAGCAGCACCATGCCCAGTGTCAGCCAAGAGTTAACAAATCAAGTAGGAGGAAAACAATGGGTTTCTTAAAATTAAACATATATTGAAACTGTCTGTGAATAATAAAGGAGCCAACATCGCTTACTTTCCCAAAGCACTTGGATCTGTAAATTAAGGTTTGCCTAAGAGTGTGAATATTATTATTTATTTAAGAGCTCTCACATTTCCTTTCACTTCTCTTCCTCTTCCCCATCACTTGTTTGCTGGGAAGGTGCTACTTGCACTCATGTGTGACCAAAGTGGGAGGCAACCAGAGGCTGTGGAATATAAGATTGGTTCAGAGAGTGAACAGGAGTGGGGAATGAGGGGTGTGGTGTCAGGGTAAGGTTAGGGGAGAGACTATAAAAAGTGTAAGGAAAGGTTAGCAGGAGGGGAATAATATTGGGTTTCTTTTGTGATTAAAAATTTCTGATGCCAAAGCATCACCAGGTCTTTGTCTTGGAGATTATTTTTTAATGAATTATCTTAACCTTTAGTTAAACCTTTTAGTTATACACTCCAGACAAGAAGTGAACGTTTAAAACAGCTATGGTAAGCAAAGTTTAAAAATTTATCTGGGATTTAGTAGTAAAAGCAAATTACATGATCCAACTTTTTAGCATTCTTGCTGAAATCAAATGCAGGCTACTGCTGGTACTATTTTTTCATGCCCTATTTTAGCCTGTACCTTGTTGCCTCAGGCCATGCCTCCCCTGGGAGGGGGTCAGAAGCTGTGGGAGCTGCCCTTGCTCTGAAGCCCTCACCTCCAGTGCCTGGACTGCAGGCTCCAGATGAGCACTCCCTTACATGTCAGCAAACGCTGAGAACAGTGCATCTTGTAGCAAAACATCAACTAAATAGGACGTTAAAATAAGATACTTCAGGAACAATAAAAATAACTGTAAATAGTTACTTTAATGAAAACATAGCTATCATGGAAAATGTCAACAAAATATCTCCCTTAACTCATGTCCAAGGGTGTATTTGTACTGACAAAAAAATTTGAGACATAGCGGTAATGAGAATAAACTCATTCTATACTGAAGGAACTGCTCAGCTGTTGTAAGACCAAAAGAGATTTCTCTTATTCCTTTCAAACACTTCTATCTGTCTAAAATTGTTTGCCATATAATTGCTTCATAAAAACTATTTCCCTGGTGTTGAAATATTTATTTTCCTTTGTACGTTTGAAAGCCCTTCCTGTAGTTTTTCTCTTTGTGACTCCTTTGGTTCACATTTTATTTCCCCCTTCCATTCCTGGCATTGGTTCTGTTGAGTGCTGTCTCTTTATGACTTTATTCATTACTCAGTTCTGGAAGTATGTTAACTACCATAACTCCATTATTTTTTTTGCATATCATTCATGTTAGATTAAATGCACAGTATTGTAATAGAGAACCCTGTGATAGTATCCAGTTTCTTTATACGTGAAATTAGGGGTTTTCTTATTCCTATCAAAGTAGACTTAGGAGTTATTCTTTACTATTCCTAACTATAGTAGAAATATTGGGGAAAAAAGTTCTGAGTATGTATGGCAGTAATAGGCAGAAGAGTGCAGGCTAGCTAAAAGCCAGTGATTCTTTCAAAGACAAATTTACACTTCTTAATGGAAAATAAATTAATTAGTGAACAGCAGAGCTGTAGCACTTACCCAGTGTTACAAAATCAAAGCATCCTATATAATGTCAGGGTCAAAGTCTGCTACAAATATTGTTTCCAAATAAATACCCAGCTGGGTACCACTATGGAAGTTCATATTCAAAAACCACATCTGACTGGGTGTTTTCATTAATAAGGTTCACTGCTAAAATGTTTTTAGGAAGAATACTTTTCAGACAATAGATAAAGCCAGGACTTAAATTTTTCCAGGTAACTACACAAAGAAGGAAAATCTTTTTCTGTGAATGGGTGTAAGTCCTTAACCAAATAACTCTTCAGGCTATAATTCCTATTGAAATCAGCACTGGCCTCTCTTTTATGCTCGGGGCTTTGTGTTTTACGTATCTGGAAGAGGGAAGGCTGATTTACACTCATGTTGTTCCCAAATGTAGACAACTAGATTTGGTCAAGGTTTCTGAACAAGAGAAAATCAACACTTCTGTTTCCAAATGATGGAAACAATTCCTGTTCTCTTCAGTAAAGAGCTGTTTTCCAGATTCCCACTCTTTTGAATGTACATAGTTTAGGTGTGGATTCTTTGGATTTGTGGAATATTAAAAATTAAATTAAAATGTAGGAGAGAGAGAGATTTTCTCCTGGTGTTAGCTGAAAGCCATGCTCATGCTTGCTGACTTTTGAAGCTGTGTCTCTAAAAGAGCAACCCTCATCATGTTAATATTACTGTTTGTGAATATGTATCTTGGACTGCACTGACACACCTTTGCAGGATAAATGGCCATTTCTTTCACTTCCTTGTAATTATTTTTGTTTTAGTTGTGACTTATGTGCACTTGGTTTGCTGAACGAGGGCTTGGGTCTTACAGGTAGGATGGGGTTGACACTTGCACAGCAGGTACCCCTTTTTTGGGGAGATCTGTAAAGGAGCTTGTAGCACGGATGTTATGTGGACATGTTTCTTTTCTGTGTCATAACTTCTTGCAACATATAACAGTGACTGGACAGAGTTCACCTCTCACAGAATTTGCACATGCTAGGAATTTTTTTCTTATTCTGTGTTTAAGACATTTTCTGTGTTTGCACTTCCTGTTAAATGCTAGATTTATTCCAAATAGCTGCAGAGTAATCCAGCACCTTTGTTTGAGGAAACCAGGACCCTTCAAATTTGCTTGCTTTCTTTACTTTATTAAGTGTTTCCTATCCAATATATATATTTTTTTTAATTAAGTCAGTTGTTTCAAAGTAAGCTCTAAAGTGGGAAGATAGAGCACTGCCTCACACTTCCCGAGCAGCAGCAGCATCTTTTGAGTGTGTGCCAACAAGCACTCTGAACTATCACTCTGACTGCCCTGGTGTTCCAGGAAGAACATCAGCTTCTCCTCTGATTTTGAATGAAGAGAAGGCTTCTGGAACAAATAACACCCACCTTCATCCCTTGTGACAAACTTCTTATGAAGGCTCTTTCAGAGTGACTCTGCAGAAGATTCACCCTGGACTTCCAAAGACAGACTGTAGATTGTCTGCCTTTGTGTAAATGACTGCTTTTTCTTTCCTTAAGTTTTTTTGTTTTTTTTTTTTTTTTTTTTAGTTCAATAGGTCTGATATAGAATTTTTCTCTTTCTGAAATGTTAACTTGGTCAGCACTTAGGATTGTGTTTAGCAAATGGAATTAGCAATGTTGGAATAAAACACTGCAGAGGACATCGCCACATTCTGGGTGAGCCATGGCAGGGTACTTGGGTACTTGAAATGTGCACACTTCATAATTTCCCACTCAGAAGAGCTGGGTTTCACAAGCAGTGACTCAGAAGAGAATAAGCCATAACTCAAAGAAATACAAGTATTCCCAAGTAAAAGATTCACCTGATTTCCTGCATGTTGGGCATGACTTAAAATGTACTATTTTTAGATGTAATGTTAAAGTACACTTCTGCTAAGAGAAGTGTGCCTGTGAACCACCAAGGACAACCTTGGGTCCTTTTTCCATTACTTCTTTCCACTTCTGCACAGTTCTCCACTTCACACAGAAGAGAAATTGGTTTCCTTTTCATCCTTGCCACCTCTGTGCAAACTGCAAGTGGGGAGGGTGAGGCAGGGCTGGTGCCTCCATCCTTGGGCTGCGCCATCAGCCCTGCCCAGCACAGTGTGGGCAGTGGGGTCGACACCAGCAGGGCCATTGCAGCAGGGGAGGTGCTTGGTGGCCCTGCTGCCAGGATGTGATGCTGCACACGGGGCTGCAGAGCTCTCCTGGCCACAGCTTATTAAACATTTCTGACGCCGACGCAGGGGAAGGGGAAGTTGTGACTCACCGCTCCAAAGGCTGGGCATCTCCAGGGGACTGAAAGGTGCAAAAAGCAAGAGTTTTACTTTACTGAGTTACTAAGTCACTAAGCTGCTGGGAGATATGACTGCATACAAGCAGACAAAGCAGATCTGCTGCTTACATGGCTAGTTTACAGCGTATTTTCTCAGTGTAAGTTGCCCACTGAAACAGAAAAAAATCAAAGATAATAAAGCTGCAGTGCCTAATGCAGCCCCCCCATCCAGCTCCCTGTGAAGATGATCAGCACTAGAACAGACAGCAATGCTGGTGGCTGCTTTGTCTAATCTATAGTACCACACTGTTTTATTGAATAACCTATCTCTTTATCATCTATTTGTCTTCATCTCTAGTGTTCTGAATGTGATTATCAAAGGTGTCCTTACACCTTTAAATCTACTTTGGAAGTAGAGCCACAGCCAAAATGCTAATGAGCTTGCCTTAATTGTAAACATTGAGCACTGATAAGAATGAAACTCCATCCTCTGTTCTAAGGAGTTCTTACGTGTTTCCTACTTACACTGTTTTTATCTGATTCTCCTTCACTTCTGTTCTTAGGCAGATTAATAGGCACCTGAACAGACAAATAACAGTACTACATCTCCTTCACACTCTTTTGACAGACTTTTGAGACTGCAAAATATTTTTGGAAAATTATTATTGGAAAAAAGATTACTGAATGATCAGGCGGACAGCAATTTTTCTGGCTGGAACAATTAGTTCTCCAGTACTCACATGAGCACATTTGTAACTTGTACTTAAATGCTGATGGGACATTTTTTAGAATGTGATAAGTGTGAAATAACCCATAGTTTTATCAGTGTTGGTTGCTGCCCACTCCTGCAAAAAGAAGTTTTATTGTGATCATTAAGTTGCAGGTAGGCAGTGCCTCTGGACTGTAAAATAGGAATGTTAGTGTGCAGTGATGAAAGCAAACTTTGCTCAACACCTGTCTATATATATTGCAGGTTTCAGTGGCTGCCCAGTTGATCCGTTCACTCTATTGTCTCGGAATTAAGTCGTGGTAAGTAAAAGCAACTAAGACTGGGTTTTCTTTTCTTCTCTTTTGAACTTTTTTAGCTTCAAATCTAAAGCTCTGCTTTTGCAGTTCAAGAAATAGTGAAAGAGAGGTAATGGGGGTACTGGAGTGGGATGTGAAATGTCATCCTCTTGTTAATATTTTTACCTTGTTTTTCTTTTACTGCATCTGTATTTTAAGGAAGTGATAAGGAACATAGTTCTGAAAATAAACTATACTTTTTTTCTGCAATTAGCTAGGTTTATTCTTATTAAATATGATAAAGGAAGAAAGTATTTTGTTAGCAGCTGCCAAAAAAACCACCCCCCCCCCCCAAAAAAAGAAATGCCTGTATCAAAAGAAAATATTTGTTTAACTATTATTTGAAAAGAAGTGAGATTTTAAGTCATAGTGATCAGTGGTATTGGATAATGGAAAATGTCTAGGATATGATTAATGAAACATTGGAAGGAAATACGGTCAGTTCATGTGTTAGCATAGATCTTCAGTAAGGGCTGTGTGCCTCAGCACTGCCGTGTCAGGCTGTTCTCGATGGAAACATTTTCTTATGCTAATTTGGTTTGATACACGGAGGTAAAAGGAATACATTAGACTCTGATGTAGTTTGCTCAACTAATGTGGCAGTAGGCAGAAATCAACTGGTTTCTCAGTAACTTTTATTATCAGCTCTTCCATTAGGTCAGTAAGTCTTTTCAACATCATTTTTTTCCTTTCTTTATTCTTTACTGTGTATTTTGTCTATGGGATGGGGTAGATCTGTACTATTTCTTTGTTGGTGGGGTTATTAATTTTCTTGGCATTTTATTCTGAAAAAGTAATTGTTTTATTTAAATACCTACTAGGCATTTCAAGTAGTTCAGTGGTATTTCCTGGCTCTGGCTCCTCGGGGCAGTCTCCAGTGCTTTGCTTGGTTGTGAATTCAAAAATTATTCTTTGGGATTTATTCTCTCCCTGCACATACCTAGATATTAGTTGACTTTTCTAGTTTGTTTTGTGTGGTTTTTTGTGTGAGATTCAGGCTTGTGAGCAATGACTCTTACAGATCCATAGGACTAAAACTGAGCACAGTTTTTGTAGCTTTTGCATATCTCTTTCTGCCTTTACTACTGCATGAGTTGAAAGTTTACATCCCGGCTAAGCCTGCTGACTTATTCAAAGAAAAAGCCCCAAGGAAGCAGCTGGTGCCAGAGCAAAGACAAGACTTGCTCCTAGCAAGGCTGAATCATTGCTGGTGTTTATTTAAGTTGTTACTGCCTCTGTTGCACCTGGGGCTTTGTGGCTTCCATGGAACTGGTTCTGGGGCAAAACTATCAGCTGATGTAAAGCTCCTGAATGAATTTGTGCTGGCTCAGAAGCTTTCTTTTCCTGTCTCTACACAATGTGCTTCTATGCTGCAAGTGGTACATTTTGAGAGGAAAAAGACAATATTTCTTCAAACTTTGTACGAGAAAGGCTGATATGTAGGTTGGTATTTATTCCTATGAAGTATGTGTGATAAATATTCATATTTACTAAGTCATATATTTGGATATCAGATTAGCTAATAAATCCCTTTTGAAGATAAAAACTTTAGTGCTGTGATGAATGATAAGGAAGTGAGGTACTTTAGTAGAAAAGCTGAGACAGGAGGGAATGAGAGGGAGAGAGAATGGGGAAAGCCTGGCTGAACCCAAAATCTGATATGGAGCTGCTTAAGCAGCCTGTAGGTGCATGTATGGTCACATTGGTTGTTGTAGTTATTATCAGTTAGTTTTGAAAATACTGCTCTTCAGTACTTTTTATTTTATCTTGTTTTGTTTATTTTATCTTTGTTTCTGTTCCCCAGGAGGGAGGTTTCTTTAAGGCTTGTTGCTGCTCCATAGTTCCTGTGTCTGGCACAATGTGGCTCACCTTTGGGTGAGCTGTCACGGGTGGAGAGGCACGAACAATGCTGGCTGGGCACACACAGGGGTAGCTCATTGAGCTGTGTTAAGTCCAGCAAAACAAACAGATTGACAGCTGTTTCTGATTTAGAACTGCAAAGCACCGAGTGTGCAGCTCTGCAACACAGGCAAAGCTGTTACAGCCCGTGAGTCACTGAGGAATGCAATATAGGGCAGCTGCATGACACCCAGTGTTGCTCAGATAATTCCCCAGAGACTTTAACTCTTTGAAATGCTGCAGTGAGAGACTATGGACATAAAAACCACAGGAGCTCACTTTGGCTCTGAGTTTTTCTCTCTCACGTTTTCGGAATTTGAATGCCATTGATTTTTCCCATCTATCTCCCTCTTAGGAGGGGGAGGGTTCAGTTTCTTTTGAAGTTAGAAAGGATGTCACACATGGTTAGCATTTTCCAAAGGCAAGGAAAGATTATACTCACAACGAAAGAAGCACACACGACGGTGTGAGAGGATTTGCCACGAGGTTCACTGAAACGGGCTGGATTACATCTTGCCCAGGCATTGGTTTTCAGACCTTTGCAATATGCATAGCACATTGTGACCTGCCACTTTCAGGAGGAAATCAGCTCCCGTTTCAGCACCCGGCAGGTGGATATCCCGAGCACCAACGCGCGTCCTGACGTGAGCTCCGTGACTTCACCCTGGCTGCAGGCACCCTGCCTGGTGTCCTGCCAGCCAAGGCAGGAGCCACATGCGTGGCACTGAGGCACCTGGGCTGGCATGGGAGTGGGCAGAGCTCATCACTCCAGTGCCTCATCCAGCAATTGTGGCTCTCCTGCCTTTGGACCTGGACCGGTGCGTCCAGCTGAGCACAGCAAGTTGTTGCAGTGTGCGTTGTCATTGGCCTGCTCTCTATGTTCCTTTGCATGTAGCTGTCTTTGGTGCTCACAGGTAAACCACTATTGGGGTTTTCATTGTCACTGGGATCTTGCGTCAGCAGTGCTGGTCCTTTCTGCCACAGCTGACGTCAGCCTCTGCAAAGGCGCGTGTGAGCACCCAGGGAGCGATGGGGTCACTCGGCCACCCCACTGCTCTGCTCCTCCACAGCACACTGACTGTCCTCTGAGTCTGTATTTGGGCCAAGGAAAAATTCTTTAAAGGGAAAACTATAGAATGTAGATTATCTTTGTAGCACAGTGGTTAATTAACAGTAAGTAGCTGTGGCTAGGACTCCAGCAGAGAGTATCAGGTGTCTCCCCACTATCTTCTCAGCTATTCCTCTTAACAAGAGCTGGGATCTGGGAAAGCTGACAACTGTGGGAGGACTTCAAGGGTATAGAAGTTCTGCTAGCATCAGTCATTAATACCACTCACACATCATGGGCTGTTCTAGTAATGCCTCTGCAAACCCAAATGTTCAAGGCAAATGCTGTAAAAGCCTCCAGAATTCAATTCTATCTTCTCAAGTCAGAGGTTGGCTAGGGCTCATGTGAATTACTTTATATACATACCTATAAAAACTTCCTCTACAGAGGTGATTAACTCTCATTCTATGATGTTTAATCACATAAAACAAAAACAATAATAATACATGACGTACCTGTGGGCTCCTGAGCACCTCCGGAACATGGGAGATGCTTATTATGGAAAAATGCTCTGCCGAATTCTTGTTTGGAGAGACTTTTTTTAGGAGACGCAGAGGCTGTTTGTCTGCTGAAGTTTTCAAGCTCCAGTTTCTCCAGTGAATGCATCAGCTCAGTTTCCATACAGTAATAATGCAGGCTGAATCCTTCATTTCCATACTAAGCGTAACAGAAGAGCTGTAGTACTGATGGCATCTCTGGGGATGGTGGTGTCCAGCATATTCTGTGTCTCCATGGCTGGAATAAGTTGCAGCTTCACATCTGACTTTCCAATATATTTTCATGATTACATTTCACTTAAGAATCACTTGTGCAGAGCAGTTATTTTTTTAATAGGTCTTTAAATGCTGAACATATATAAATGAAACTTGTTTAACAAGATGGAGGTGTTTTTGTCTGGGTGGGGCTGGAGGTTGTTTTGGCATGGATGGAAATGCGAGAATTTGCTCCAAGCAAATGGGAATCCTTGTTGAAACAAGCAAGAATGACTTTCTTTCATCTGTTTGAAGATCTTTGTGTATCTTGGGAGCTGCTCTGGGTCTTACACCACAGATAAAGAATGTGAAACGTGTAGTTTTTGCTAATGGAATTGCAGAATAACTTTTCCTGGTAATGTGGAAGAAGAGATACTCTTTTCTTTGTGGAGTGCCAGAAAACAATACCCACCTGTGTAACAGTAAGACACAAGTGATTTTGTCTCTGACTTTTCCTTCCCAGCTAAAGGAGGAGGATGTGTGGCTTACTGATGTGGGCAGGCACAAAACATTTTCGCCATCAGCTACATAAAGGACTATGATTAAATGAATGACTAATTATACTCCCTGAGAGTGACTGCTAACTGCTGGTGAACCTTGTTTATGGGAGCATGAAACCAGCTCTGACTTTTGGAGGCGCAGGGGGCACAGGGGCTCTGTGTATGAGGAGCATTGGTGGCAAATTTGCTAACCAGTGTTTCAGCCATGTGGGTGCCAGATGTGCTGCTCATGGGGCAGCTCTGGCTGCAGCACTGAGTGACTTGTGGGGCACAGAGGGTGGAAGACCTGAAGGTGGGGCTTTCCTGGACAGGGTTCACTTCTCCCATCCTTTCCACGGAGTTTTTGGATGTGCTGGCTGATGTCACCAAGTCTGTAAAGGCAGAAGCATTGTGGTACATATTGGCTCCTGTTTCCACAGTCACTTCCCCCCTCATTCATGTCTCTCCCTCTGGTTTCTAATACTGGTGAAGTAAATAGGGAAGACTTTTCCAAGCTTGGTCTCCTCTTGTGCCTGGACCAGGTCTGTCATGTGTGTTTGCACCCATGCTGGCAGGATCTGGACATGTGATGTCTTACTTTTTAAGTTATTATTCATTAATAATAGAGTGCATCTCAAATGTGCCCAGAAAGGGGTCAGGAAGAGGTTCAGAGAGAGAGCCTGTGTGAGATGGGTGAGCTGGACCTTGCTGCTTCCAGCTCAGCTTCATTTGCAGCATCAGCTGTGGCTTACAGGCAAATACAGAGCTGCAAATGGCCCCTGCTCTCTAATTGTCCTCTTCTCTGGGCACTCAGCAAGCTCAAAACCCTGGGCTCTTCTTCCACCTTGTCCAGGATTCTCCTCTTCATGTTTCCATGGCAATGAACCAGTAAAGGCAACAAGGCATTGTGTTTAGCATTCACGACCCAAACTAAGCAGTGCTTTAGGGAAGAATTTTTTTGTTAAAACATTTCTGTGTATTGAATTACCAGATAAAGGTCTGTGTATTGAATTACCAGGCAATTGCTTAAATCCAGAAGGTGGAAGAAAATAAAACAATTCTCTGACTTCTTGTTGAAAGGAGTTAAAATTAATTAAAGAGAAGAAATCCCTACCTTTTGGAAAGCAGAGGAATATTTTCTTTAATGAAAGTTAAAAGTGTATGAAAATATAAATGTGAGATGGAAATAATTTTTTAATTGTGTACACAAATAAGTAAACTGTGATTAAAAATAATTGAGAAATCAATTTCCCAAATAGAAGAATAACTCATAAAGCTTAGTAAAAACTTGTGTTCAAGGGAAAATTACTTCTATTTAATTTTCATCTCCTGTGCTCTTTATCCTTATCATATTTCTCACATGCACTCTTATAAGGTGAATATTTTGACTGCACTTGCATTTCACTCAACACTACTCTGTTAGTCACAGATCATGGCTCCCTGGCCGGAGGTAGAAAAGCCTGAAACCAATAACTATATTGGGGACTCTTCCAAACAAAACCAGAACATGGCTGGGAAAGAAGGAGAAAATCACAAAGGTAATGTGCTCACTCTGAGTTATAAAAAAATAGATAGGATTTGGGGATCCTTGGAGAAGATGGAAAGTAATTAAACAATTTTTAAAATGTTCTGTTTCGTCAGGCAACGTGGCTTCACTTGGAAATAAAGGGGAAATTCAACCTGCATTTTCCACAGTAGCTTTGATAGATGAGACAAGGCCAGAAGAAGAAGACCCGTGGGCTCTGCCAGAACTGCAGGACACTGGGATCAAGTGGTCAGGTAGCCATTTCTCTGTAAATAAGTTACCTACATTGTTTTCCCATCACTTGTCTCATGTTAATCAAGAGTTAATAGGTTTATAATATTCAATCAGCTAAGAAAAATCCCAAAATCATGCTTCTTAGCCTCCTTAAAACATGAGAAGATATATGTAAAACAGTCCAGCACTAATACAGTGTTTTATAGTTTTATAAAACTATAAAAGTTTATAGTTTTATAAAACTAATACTAGTTTTATATCCAGGCAGCTGTTGGTCTTTTTTTTACTCAGTAGGATGACTATAAAACCAAGGGTCAATGTCAGATTTCATAAGGCTTTTGTCACATACCAAAAAGGTTTTTTTGTGGTAAAAGTAGGCAAACAAAATACCTGCTTCTGCAGTTAAAATGTGATTAAGAACATTCTTTTGGGTTTAATCACACACTGGAGCCATGTCACTGTCTTTGTCTCCACTGTCTCTGCTTGTGCACTAGAGTATTCCAGAGAAAAATTCAAATGATTCTTTTATACATAATGCATTTGTTTTGCAGATCTGGATACAAAAGGAAAAGTCATTCGTGTACTCTATGGGATAGGGAAGTTCATTATGCTACTTGGATTACTCTACATGTTTGTGTGCTCTCTGGATGTACTGAGCTCTGCTTTTCAACTGGTAGGAGGTATGAAAATATCTAAAATATCAAGAATAAATTAATAAAGCAGTAAATTTTGTCTGAGACAGTTACAACTACCACTCTTCAAGAACATTCTTCATATATGATGAGACATAGATTCAGAAGGAAGCAGCTCTGATTAAACACTGACCTTCAGATGTTTGAAAGGGTCTTTCTGTCTCAAATTCCACAGAGCTGATGTAGGGGTTATTGGCCCAAATTTCCCAGTAGCTCCCAGTTACTTTAGTGACAGTTTAAAAAAATACATCTGGACATAAATCTGTCCCATGTAAAAGACATTTCAACAAGGTGAATTACAAAATTGTGCTCTTGACCAAAGCATCTAACACTGAAATGTCCCTCAAATCCTTCAAAGATGAAAACTATTGAAATGTATTTTTTACATTTACCTCAAAGTGTTGAATTCAGGTGATGGACTCAGGAGTGGTTATCAGAGAAATATGTGTACTTCTGTTGAAGTATTTTGCAAACACAGAAAGGTACAGGGACTGAATTAGTCAGTATTATTAAAAGCATTACCCTTAATTCAGTGTCCAAAAATACCAAGTAATAACATTTAAATCAAGGTATGGGTGTTTTTTTTGTCCTACAGTCTTTCTGCTGATGGCTGTGGCATTATATGTGGCAACTCTCTGCAGAGTTCAGCAGGTCTTATAGTCACTGAAATGAGAGAATAGAAAGTATCCTCTAAAATCTGAGAAGCTGAGAGTCCAGGACATGAATCTGGATCCCTGGGCTACATTGTACTTTTTTGGGATAGCAAACATGGTTATATATGTATCAATTAAATGGCTGAATGATCTTGAATTAAACACTGATAATTTCTGTGGACTTTACCTTGTGCTTCCCCCACTCTGAGAATATGTTTTTTTACAGGTAAAGCAGCAGGGGACATATTTAAAGATGATTCAGTGCTCTCGAATCCTGTTGCGGGACTGGTGATCGGAGTTCTGGTGACTGTGATGGTCCAGAGTTCCAGCACCTCTTCATCCATCATAGTCAGCATGGTGTCCTCCACATGTGAGTCTGCTCACAGAATCTTCCTAGAGATCACTCATAAACCTTGTCTCAGGTGCAAACATTCCCACTTGTGTTCAAATTGTAGAAGCTTTCGGTAAAAGAATAGAGACCATTGGAAAAGTTTTTCACAGCTGTTTCCCCGATATAAAATAAAATTTTTAAAAGGAATCATAATGGTATTAGTATTAGTAGTAGCAATAGTAGTAGTAGTAATAATAATAAAACCACAACTGCAAGGAAACTCATTGGAAGCCTTGGCACCAAATGACTTAATTTTGGAATTATCTGCATCATTTTCTCATATTGGACAGTTACTGAACTTCATTTTTTTCTGTGGTATCATTTCAAAATTCTGTAGTAAGTAGGAAAATGCCTGGGAAAGAAGAGACTTTATTTTCATCTGGCCCTTTAACATGCAATGAAAAGGGATAACCATGGGCCATAGTGTCAGTGGGGATCATGGGACTATGGGAGTGCCACATTACCAGGGGGCTTGATTAAAGCAAACCTGTTTGGATTAGAGCAGCTCATCACACTGACATCAAGGGAGGTCAGGAGTTCACTGATAGCAATAGAAATTTTCATTGAAGCATAGAGCTTGCTAATAATATGATTTTTTCGTTCATTGTTTCCTTTTCTGTTTTGCAGTGCTGACTGTTAGAGCAGCTATTCCTATCATCATGGGAGCAAACATTGGCACCTCAGTTACAAACACAATTGTGGCACTTATGCAAGCTGGGGACAGGAATGAATTTAGAAGGTATTGTATTTAAACTCTAGATCTGGAAAATTGTTTCTTTCATTTTTGTAGGTCTTCTATATTCCCTCTCACTACTACAGCCATTCAACCTTTCTAGATAGGAAAGTCACAAGCATGGCCATGGCAAAGGTATAAAGCTGCCTACATGTATGGCCTTATATGCTTGGAAAAAAAAATATATCATGTTCCTTTAAAAATTTTGTGGGTTTGTGAGAATTCACCATTTTTAATGATCTTACACAGGAATAAATTTTCAAGTGCTCTCACTATACCCCCCACCTTTTATTATGTGCCAGCTGTGGGAGGGCTGTACAAGAAGTTAGTATTACATAAGTTTGGTCTGGTTTCCTTAAAAGAGATTTCAATGTTGAAGTCTGCAGAAAACCAGAGCTGGTAACTGTAGAGAAATGAAATGTTCTGGCTGTCAGATATATACAGTGACACCTTTTGGACTGACACTTGACATTGCCACTGAGAGAGCTCATGGAGCACTTGGAGGCTTACTGGAGATGGGCAGTAAACTTGGGAGTGATAGGAGACTTTGGAACCTTGTCATTTATGCACTGGGCATATTGAAATACTCTTGGCCAAAGCCTCTGAGGGACAAGCTGTGGCTCCTCAGGCTTTGGAGGAGAAGATTGAAGGGACCTGTACACCAACAGATTGCAGAAACATGTGGGAGAGCTGCAAAGCCCTCTTGCCCCAGGAGTCAGGGAGAACTGGTCCTGGAGGCAATGACTGGCTGAGGATTAAAAATGTACTAAAAACAGGTGAGAGGCAAAACAAACACAGGCTGTACAGCCACTTCTTTCTTCAAAAAAGTACTCTTGGCAGCCTCATGCTATGGATTACTTCTGTCTTTTCTAGTTTTTCTTGTTTTACTCACCTGTCTGGCTCTTTAGTTGGCCAACAGTGTGGAGCCAACCTAGCACTCCATAACAAAGTAGCTATTGCATTTGACCCCAGAAATTAAATTATTCCCATCTTGAAATGCCCTTCATCTCTACTTTTATGATTTCATATCTAATTGATGTTATACACATTTTGTTTAATTAAAAGCAGCTCTGTTTTTTAATTTCTTCTTGCAGGGCCTTTGCTGGGGCAACAATCCATGATTTCTTTAACTGGCTGGCTGTGTTTGCACTGTTACCCATTGAAGTCATTACTGGCTATCTCTACCATCTCACCAATGTTATAGTTGACTCCTTTCACCTTGAAAGTGGTGAGGATGCTCCAGAGCTACTAAAAGTTATCACAGACCCCTTTACAAAGCTCATCATTGAGGTAAGCTCTTTCTCACTTCAAGAAGCTGCCTACCTGATTCAGTCCCAACTAATCAAAATGCTCTGACTGTGAGAAGGCTTCCCATTCCTACCTCTGTGTTCCTGGGGGCAAAGTTCATTAACAGATGAATTCTTCTCTTAATTCATATCTCATAAAGCCCAGTTCTATGTTTCCAGTTTCTATTTCGCCCACATTTCACAGCATCAGTGGCAGACAGGGGGGAGGAGGACTGGGAAGGCAGGTGAGGACAAATTCAGCCATGTGGGATGGATGGGAAGGCAGCCTCTTGCCTGGGCATTTGCAGGTAGCACTAGCTGAGACACAGCCAGAGGAACAGCATTGGACCTGATGAGGACACTGAAATTATGGGACAAAATCATGTGCATCTAGAGGCCAGGGGATGCACACAGGTTTTGAAGTGACAGTAAATACAGTCAGGGAGTTGTGTCAGAGCAGCTGATTAAACAGAAAGGATGAGATGAGGTAGTGGATGATGTGGGGAGAATGAGACAAAGCATTTGTTCATGTACAGTTGTACTTTTTTTTTTCTGGGAGTAACCCCCCTCCTACCTGTTGGGCAGGAGTTCCAGCATTGGAGTCATGCAGATTTTATATGGTTGAGCTTTCAAGGGGGCTTATTTGAGTAGAGCTGAACAGAAGTATGTGATACAAGCTGGAAATAAAGCATTTTTAAAATTCTTTTTATTCTTCCTTTTAAGCTTGATAAATCAGTAATAAATGCAATTGCCACTAATGATGAATCAGCAAAAAACAAAAGCCTGGTAAAGATCTGGTGTGTCACTGAAACCAATGTGGTGAGTATCATGTTAAATTAATTGTCAGGTACCTCAGGAAATATATTACTGATCTGTAGCTGATGCTCCTTATCACAGGATTGTGAAATTAGATTTTTTAATGAGGGTGGGGTTTTTATCAGCAGAAAAAGAATGAAAAAAATTTAATGCAGTTTTTTTTAATGCTCCACTTAAACCAAGCATGGTCACCAGTGGTGACCTTGACCTGGCTGCTTTCAGTACTGTGCAGGACCTTGCCTATCAGAACTGGTGGATTGGTGCCAAGCCTTTCACTCCTTTCAAACCCAAATGCCTTTAAACTCTGATCAGGGAGTCCTACCAACTCCCTGAAAGTGGAAAAAGTCTGCACCGTAGGCCAGAGAAAAGATCGTTTCAACCACCGTTTATCTGCTGATCTAATCAGCTTCAGTTTGACGTGTGTTGGGGTGATCTGGTGGCCGCTGGCTGCTCGCAGCCTTCTTGGAAAACTGCCCTTGGACAAAGCCTCCGTGGGGCTGTGTCCTGCTCCTCTCCACCCAAGCAGCCCTACAGCTTGGAGGAATCTCTTGCCCAGACCAACACCAATGAGTATTTTGGCAAACTGTGGAGCTGAGTGTTTGGTTTGCATCGTTCAGCTAACCAACAATTACAGCATTAAATATCCTTTGATTCTCTAATTAGACTATTCTACCTGCTGGCACGTATAGAAAAGTAATTCCTGAAGTCCTGAGGCAGAAGATACTCAAGGAGTCCTTAAGTATTTCATTCTCCACAGGTTGTGGAGGTTGAAATTCGGTGCCCAGCTGCTATTGAATGACGCTGTGGCTGGGCAGTGAAACGCTACCTGCGGAGATGGAGCCGGGGCAGAGCCGCGCTCACCCGGTCCCTGCTCGGGTTACAGCCCCGGCTGTGTCTGGGGCTGCGGACCCAGCCCGGTGCCCCTCGCTGCCCCGGCAGGCCCAGCCTGAGCTCAGCTGCACAGCCCCGAGCCCCTGAGCCCTGCACAAAACAAGAAACTACATGGAAAGAGCAGGCCAAGGGAAATGTTTATTTCTAGACACGCTTTTTTCTGTGTTGCCTGTATTTTGGCTGCGTACCTGCTGCTCAAGCTTACAGTCAAATGACAAAAACATGTCAAACGCACAGAATTTTGACTTGACCTTGGTGGGGAAAAGGAAAATAATTTAAATTATTGCATTCCTGTGACCGTGTTTGCAGAGCTCCGAGGATGAGGGAAGAGACAAGGATCTGACTCCATGTTTCAGAAGGCTTGATTTATTATTTTATGATATATATTATATTAAAACTATACTAAAAGAATAGAAGAGAGGATTTCATCAGAAGGCTAGCTAAGAATAGAAATAAAAGGAATGAATAACAAAGGCCTGTGTCTCGGACAGAGTCTGAGCCAGCTGGACTGTGATTGGCCATTAATTAGGAGCAACCTCATGAGACCAATCACAGATCCAGCAGATAACCATTGTTTACACTTTGTTCCTGAGGCCTCTCAGCTTCTCAGGAGGAAAAATCCTAAGGAAAGGATTTTTCAGAAAATATCATGGCTACATATTCCTACTAGGTTAAACTAATTTCTAGCAAAAATTGTTAAACAGACTCATGGCCAGGATAAATACATGCAGACCCCATATGTTTAAAGTAAAACAAACATTTTGATCTAGTGATGCTGCTTTGAAACTAAGATGCTTGAAAAAAAAATTCGAGATGAGAAACAAGACTGTGTTGTGTTTGTAAAGGTTTACCAGGTATGGGGTGCCTGGAGCCCAGGTGCTCCCTGGAGATGTGGGGGCACCAGATCCACTCCCAGTTTTGCCCACCTGCATCATCTGGAGAGAGGTACAAATGCAGGTGTTTGTAGGCAGTACCCAGCAAAGAAATATGATTTCTCTTCCCCCATTTCTGCAAAAGAAAATCACTCAGGCATTTTGGAAAGATGCTTCTTGTTCAGGAGCATGGTTCAGAGTCCGTTTGGCTGTCAGCTGCTCTTGTGTGGAAGCACAGCTCAGTCAGCAAGCTGTTCCTTAGTCTGCATAATGACTTACAGACCTGGTGTCAGAATGCATGTCTGGCCTAGGAGGGCTTATAAGGAAGCTGTTATTGTGGTGTACATAGAAATTCAGTAATTTGGTAATGGTAATCATAGTGCTTGTAATGAGCTCTTAGCCCTTGAACATGACAATTAAAGTAGTAGCAGCACTTCTGTTTCTACTGACATGGAAACTGAGGCACAGAAAATCAGCTGGAGCACTTTGTGCTCATCCAGCAAGAGAGGCTGCACTCGTGTTGTAGCATTCTGACTCACAGTCCTGTAGTACTCATGAGACCATGAACTGCATTGAGATGTCAGGAAAGAGATCTTTCTTTCATCAAGAAAGCTGTGGCAGTGGCTGGAAAAGGAATGTCACTGTCCCACAACTGCAGCCAAACATGAACCTCACTCCTCAAATCTGTCATCAGTAGTTAAGTTCCTCAGCTATTAGTGGATTGGTGCTGTGGTTATTAAAATGTAGAAGATTTTGGGAATATTTTAATCTTTACATATTGTACTGATTGACATGGGTAACAGCATAATCATTTGTTTTCAGAATGCAAAATGTTACCATGCCATTAATGTGGTGCCAGCTTACAATGCTGACTTTTTAGCTGATGAATCTTGGTTGTAGTAAAATTTGAAAATTCTACATGAGCTCTTATAAAGGATTATAGGTGACTGAACTCTCTGCTTTGTCTGGCAATCTTTAGACGCTGCAGAATGTCACAATTCCACCTTCCGAAAACTGCACATCTCCTGACTTCTGCTGGACTGCAGGAAATGTGACATGGACCCTCAAGAATATAACTGAAACAGACTATATCAGTAAATGTAAGTAGTAGAACTACTCCTCTGCAATATATTTACAGAAGTATATATCTTTCTAATGGTGCTAACAGCCCCCTTCTGAGGTGGATCCAGGAGCCCTGGCCAGTGTGGGGACACATGGCACTGCTGCAGGTGCTGCCTGAGGAGCCTGTGCTCTGCTGTGGCTGCACAGCTGGAGTTACAGCAGCATCATGGTATCTGGCTGCAGGGGGATCTCTTTCCATGCTGCCTGATAGCAGTCATTGAGGTCTCAGTATCATGTCACCGTGATGTTCAGATGGCTCGGAGCTACGGTTACTCTGCTGTCATGGTTGCTAGGATATCCCATCCCTATGCATGCCCTGCAGGACTTTGAACTGCCCTGCTCAGGCATGCAGCCACCTCTGGGAAAAGCTGACCCACTGTGCAGCTTGGAGCACCCCAAAAGTTTCTCCTGCCTTTGTGTTCCTCTCCCTTACACATGCCTCATACACCTGGTTCCTGCCTGCCCCATAGGGGTGCCCACTGTGCATTTTGTAAGCATGTCTGTAGAAGCACCTCTCCTGCCTCACTCAGACATGGCTTTTGTGGAGGAGGAAAGGTGGCATTTTCCACCTTTGCATCAACCCTTCAAGCTGTGTTTGCTTTGGCTCAATTTTCTTAGGGGAGCGAACGAAAACCAGCGGTGGGCTTAGGATCACAGGCAAAAATGTGGGTAGGCTAATTCATTTTCCTTTTCTTTTTCAGGCCAACACATCTTTGTAAACTCAGACCTGCCTGATCTTGGTATCGGGCTCATCCTTCTGGCTTTGTCCCTGCTTGTTCTCTGCTCCTGTTTGATAATGATCGTTAAGCTGTTAAACTCTGTGCTTAAGGGACAAGTGGCCAGCGTTATCAAGAAGACAATCAACACTGGTAACTATCTGCTTTTCCTGAGGATTGTTTTTAGGAATGACAAGGACACTGAGCATGTTTATTGATGTCTCCTGTTCTGAAAGACATTATAGAATATTTTAAAGAAAATACTATTGAATGAAAATCGTGCACACTGCCCAACATTTTTTCTTCCAAGTATTTTTTTTTCTTTAATTTAAAAATCTTTTAGTGAACAGCTTGATTGAGAAATGCAGCAGATTAACAGCATTAGAGACCAAAGTCCAGGCTCTGTTTCTAGATGTATAATCATTAGCTGTTAGAAATGTAGATCTTCCATCCTCAAAAGATAGCACCAAAGTGCTGAGATTGTGATTGCCTGCTCTGGCACAGGGCCTGCATATTCCTTCTAAAGTTGAAAAAAGATTCATGATCTTATCCTGTGCTGCTGCCTAACCCTCTCTTCAGCAGGATAAGGCAGCCTTGAATGGTGGTGTTTTTCTGTCTTTCCCTGTGTTGTCCAGCTGGTTTTTTCAGCCTGGATCCATTGAGTGCAAATGTTCTGGGGTTTTTTCACCAGGCTGCTTTTCCTTCATACTCTCTTTAATGGAGAGATTAGGAAGTGTAGCAGAGAAAAGCAGTCCTGGCACAGATCTCAGGCTGTGGTTGAAGTGAGGGTACACAGAAATACAGAAGGCAACAAAGTGGTCCCCATGCTGTCTTCTCCTGGGCAAAGAACACTGCCCAAATTAAAAACAAGGGATAGAAAGTAAACAGCTACTGCTTATTTAATTTGGGATCTCTCTATTCCTCTGTGTCTTCCCAGCTGATTAAGTCCTCACTTCTCAGCTCTCTCCATAAATCTGCAGACTACAGGGGACATTTGTGCCTAGTTTCTCTATCAGTGTAGTTAGCTGTTCTCTGCAAGAGTTAACAAGTACATTTTTAGGGGATAATCCACTTGGAACTAGTTAGAGCAAACAACTTGGTTCTCTCAGGAGCTTTCTGAAGATCTGATCCAGTGAGTGCCTGGTTGCTGAAACCAAGGCTCTCAAAACACCCAAAAGGTTTTGTGTTGACCTCTGAGGAAACATTTCTGGTACCTAATTGTATCACAACACACATGCCACCCTGGGTCAGGAAAAATGTCTGCCTAGTCTGGTATCCATCTCAAAGTGTATCCAGTGGTGCAAGGCTGTTGAAGGCACATAGCAAACAGGATAAATCAAAGTAGTAGAACTGGCCCCAAATCGTCATTTGAGACCCAACATGCAAACAATACATCTACATTTTAAGGGCTTAACAGTCTTCCCTGCTGTGTTATTGTTACATGGATCACTCTGTTATGCTAACAGCAATGTTGTCCCTCTATTTTTTAGATTTTCCATTTCCTTTTACTTGGCTCGCTGGATACCTGGCTATGCTCGCAGGGGCTGGTATGACCTTCGTTGTCCAAAGCAGTTCTGTTTTCACATCTGCTATTACCCCCCTTGTTGGTAAGTTGTAAATACTGTGCTCTTTATCCCCATGTTTCATCTTCTCCATCATCCTGAAGCCAACCCAGTCGTGTTTCTTTTCTCGTAGGCATTGGCGTCATAAGCATTGAGCGCTCTTACCCCCTCACCTTGGGAGCCAACATTGGCACAACCACAACAGCTATACTTGCAGCTTTGGCAAGTCCTGGGAGTACATTAAAATATTCATTACAGGTCAGTATAAAACCATGCTTTCTTGACTTCATTTAGAAGTTGTAAGTTTTCTGAAGAAAAACCTGACAAAAGTGATGCAAATGTACTGTTCATGTTGTGCCTGATTTTGTCTGTGCTATTAATAACAATGCATTCACTTCAACTGCTAGACCAAAGAGGTTGCATTAAAAATTCCCAGAATATCAATATATAGCTAATCTTGCTTTTATAAATTCTCTTGATCTGCATGAATTGATTCAGAACTGGGACAGGGGAGGTCACTTGACCCCTGAGCATGGGGTCTTTTTTCTGCTTGGAGTTCAGTGCCCACATGCTGAGAACCCTCTGAGAGTTATTGATTTCTGTAAGCCCTCTTCTCAGGGTCCAAAGTCAGTTCATTGATTGTACAGGGACTCCTGTAACCTAAGTGAAGGTTGCACAATCCTTAAGCTGGCAAGCTCTCTATCTACCCAACATTGCAGTGAGCATCATGGCATCTATTTTTCTCCTTGTAAACGTATTTTGACTGGGTTTTATTGAATTCTGTTTTGCCTCAAACTATTTAAAAAGTAGGAAGCCTGGCTTTGACTCCCATTTTCCACCCAGTAAAGAACCTGGCAGCAAATAACATTTGAATGAATGCTTTACAATTAAGAGTGAAAAGATAATGACGTTTCCTTGGTGAATAGGATGAATGTCTTTACTAGCTAAAATAAATCAAGAAAATTGCAGAAGTCATTTTATTGTCCTCAGGCAACAGATGTAATCATGAGAAGATGCTATCTTGATAAAGCTCAGATTTCATGATAACATACTGGTTTTATAATGCCCTTTATAAGTAAACACCTGTACTTTCATATTTACTTTAGTCTGATAACAGTTACAAAATTAAAATAGGATAAGGTGAGCAGGGAATGTACTGTTTTGTTCAATATATGCTTATTCTGTCTAAGTGACTCCTGTAAGCTTTAGCAAGTCTCTGCCTTTTAATGCTAATTTTTGTTTAAAAATTTTTTGAAGTATGTGAATCAAAGGATTGTAAAGATCCAAAGACAAAGTCCCCTTCCAGGAATCTCCTCAGTGCCCCATAAACTTATAGCTAAATTTTTGTAAAATCCAAGTTTGTACCATTAAAAATTTCTCTGTAGCCAGTGTGCAATATCAAATTTACGTTTCCCATGTTTTCATTGAAAATTTCTGGATGTAGAACCCAATGGTTCCCACACCTTGACAACAGTACTGTTTCCCGAGAGCTGGAAGTAATTATGATGTGGGTAGGAGTATTTAATGGTGGTTTAGTTAATGAACTTCTCAAATGTTTTTGCTTTCAGATTGCCTTGTGCCACTTTTTCTTCAATGTCTCTGGGATTATTCTGTTTTATCCGATACCTTATACCCGCCTGCCAATCCGCATGAGCAAGACCTTGGGAAATATAACAGCCCAGTACAGATGGTTTGCTATATTTTATCTTCTCCTCTGTTTCTTTCTGTTGCCTTTGTTTGTATTTGCTTTGTCACTGGCAGGCTGGGGAGTCCTTTTGGGTGTTTGCCTTCCCCTGTTTCTTCTTTTTATTGCTGTGGTTGTAATTAATGTTATGCAGAAAAGGCGACCTCATTCACTGCCTGAGAAGCTCCAAAACTGGGATTTCCTACCTGTGTGGATGCACTCCCTAGAGCCCTGGGACAATATACTTATGGCTTCCCTTGCTTTTTGTGGGAAACACTGCTGTGGCTTCTGCAAGTGTTGCAAAGTCAATGCTGAACAGGAGGGTGCCAAAGACAAGCAGCTAAAAACGATGGAAGTTTATGAAAACACCATGGCAATGGCTGATGATGAAAGAGGTGGAAGAAGGGCACCAGCAGTAGCTTGTGTTGACAAAACAGGCACAAACAACACAGCCTTATAGTATCGGATCCATGCATATTAGCAGAGATACAGCACAGGACAGCCAGGCTCATCAAAACCACCTTGGACCTTGCACTGAGGACAGAGTGAACATTTTGTTAGGTTTCTGAAGCCAGTGATACATCAACCATCAAGGAAGGGAGTCAAACAAGCTTGACAGAGTCCCTAGAAAACCTATGCTCAGTTGCAAAGCTAATGACAGATTTGCTCACAGAGGATCTACTATGTGGTACCTTCCTCCAATGTTATCAGTAGCAAACAAAAGAAATCCTGATGTAGTCCCATGAAGAGAGAGATGAAAGTGGCAATCAATTAAAACTTAAAAAAACCCAATAAATAATGCACTTCTAGAACAGCCTTTCTGACCTACTGATTCAGCAGAAATTACATCATAATACCGAAGAAGTCCTTGAAATTTAAAAGAAAAAAAAAAGGGGGAGGGGGAGGGTTGGAAGTAAAAAAAAAGGGAAAAAAAAAAGGGAATCCTAGTGTTTTCATTGGCCTGTCTGCAGTGGTCAAAATGGAAAACAGTAGCTTTCCTAGAATAGACAAAATCTATTCTATGTGTGTGAAGGAAAATGAAATGCTGGGACATTCTTCAGAAGCTCTTGGAGTCCTACTCTGACATAAGAGTGTACCTAAGCCCATTTGCATCCCTCTCTGTCTCCTCTAACAGTGGGGACAGAAGCTATAACCTTTTGTTATCTCAGGCTAAAGACCACAGAGGTAATTGCTGCTCTCTCTGCCTGCTGAATGCTAAGAACTGTGTATGGAGGCATTGGGTTGCTACCAAAGGTCTTGGCTGACTGAGGATGTGATTGTGTGACCATTCCTCTCTCCAGATGGTCCTCTGCAGTCCTGTCCACCATGTAATCCCACAGCTATGGACTGGTGCAGGAAGGAGGACAAGTAGGAGAGGAGGGAGCTGTGCCAGCCTGGGCTGGTGCCAGGAGATCTGTGTGCAGCTGTGGCTGCATTTGCCTGAGCCACAACAGGAGTTTTCAGGGTAGCAGTGGAGAATGACTTTAGACCTACAACAGAGGGAGCCTGCAGAGCAGATTGTGGCTAGCACAGGGAATCTGGCAACGTTTACTGGAGACAAAGGGGCTTTCACCACCCCTTTGTGCTCTGAACCACCCTACTTGGAAATAATGTGAATTTTATTGGCAATTGTATGTAGCAATCCAAATCCCAAATAAAATCCATAAGGAGTGTAGTCACTACAATGCCTAGCAAGTCCATGGGTAGTGCAATACTTGACAGGGAGCTGCTTGTGCTCAAATTTTACCTTAGTGATGTTTTAGTAAATGCTTGTGAGACTGCTCTGAATCATGGGCTGACAGAAGGTGTAATTTCAGAGTCAGAAGAAGAACATTTCAAAGATGCACTCAGTCCTTCTGCTGGTTTTCAACAGCTTAGATATTACTGAGTATGGGACAATATCTGAAGTCCAATCACTAATGTTCAAAAAAAAAATTAGATGGCTGAGTGTAAACCAAGTGTCATTTAAAGCCCATTTAAGTGGCTGAATTTTAAATTAAATGTGTAATGAAAATGCTGAGAAGACCCTTAGTGCAACAAAACTACTCAGTGCTGCTAGAACACAATTACTTCTGAATAGTTGTTTTTTGCAGAGCTTGGAATTCAGTAGGTTAAATTCAGCAATCAAGTAAATACATACATTTTAGAAGTGAAAATTGTTTTCATTTACTTTTTTAGCTAACAGTAAAACTGGCAAACTATGTGTTTGCAAATTGCATTCAAACTGAGATTCTAACTTTCTGTAATTGTGAGCCAGTGACAAAATGCCTAGAATCAGAGTGAAATTCCAAAAACATCTAGTTTTGGTATAGTTCTGCTCTTTTGGAGTGTAGTACCAAACAGCAGAATTATGTCAAATGTTCTTTTTATTTTCCTTATGCTTCATATAGTTGAAAAAATTTTGTCAGCATCTCATTTTTAAAGTGGAGTTTTTATATTTTCAATAATTCTACTTCATTTTATTCTCACAATTCTGGATACTTTTGGAATCTGTTTCTTTAAATCCCAATGTGCATTTCCCATGCCCTGTTTCTTTGGGAAAATATGAGAAAAATATCCAGAATTGTTTTCAAGTTATCTTACGTTTCCATTGACCACCCATCGAAAGAGGAAACATTTTAGTCTACTTTTACTCATTTCTTAAACAACATGCACCTTATTTTGCTTCTTGAATTGAAGCCTTCAAGAGCAGTGATAATAACTGTGGGAAAGCAATTCTTGCAAACGAGTCAGGGTAATAATTGTCAGGCATATCAGTACTTTATGGTTCCTCTCTGTAATGTCTCCTCTCCTTGCTCCAGGTCATACCATGCCATTGTGTTAAGCAGATCCCAAGGAGTATTTCTGTTTAATACACCATGATATGTCCTGGTACACTCACCCCACACTCTTTCTAAAATATATTTACTCTTTATTTATAATTGTTTGAGTGTACAGAATTTTTCATAACTTATAGAGAAAACGGCTGGTGATTGTGTTATATATTACATATTTGAAAACTATGCAATGTTTATCTATAAAAATGTAAAAAGGCACTACTGTATATTTTGTAATATAACTTTTCAATTGTTTGTAACTGTGTATACTGTGTATTATGGAGACTGTTGGCTCCATCAATAGGTTACTTAAAGATTGTTGGTAATGCAGAGACAGATTTCTTAAAGACACAAAACAACTATAGACTTTCATAATATGGCTTAATGCACAAGGATATTAAACACTATGTTTCTAAAAGATTTGAATTTTCTGTAATGAGAAATTTTGGAAATACAATGTTTCTAAAATACTTTTTTAAACTCTTAAACACTTTATCTTTTACCTGTTTCAAGGACAGTATATGTCTTTATATTTTGTCATGAATGTTCATCTTGTCTGTCCTCATGCATTGAATGTAAAAATAAAGAGAAGTTAAAAAAAATTATTTTCGTAATATCTATTTATATACGTATCATGGAATCTTGCAGAAAAATAAGTATTCAGACAAGGTCTAGCCTGAGCTGATGAATTGTGCAAGAAATGAGAAGGTTTTTTTAGCACTGAGCACTAAAGAAAAGCACCTGTGTGTCCAATATTTTCATATGAATGAGGGATTTTCATGTGGAGAAAAATAAAAAAAATTGCTCGGTGCAACTGTGTGGGTCAAGGTATTTTCTGGCAGAGTGCTACAGACTGTCCTTAGTGAAGGCAAGCATCTAAGACAAAGCCAATGCTATTGTGGCAACAGGATGCATGACAAGTCACCACAAATTATGTGTCACTGTACCAGGCTCAGGTGCTTCCTGTATTCTCTGGCAAATAGAGTGTCTCTGTAATGCTCCTTATACCCTGTGGCCTGAGTGATGTCTGGCTTATAACTGGCAAAAATATCCATCTTACTCTTTTTTTTTTAATCACACATGACCTATGGAGCTTAAAATTAGCCAGACAAAGAGAAATAAAAAGTGCTCTTTAAATGTGTTAAAGAGTATTGAAAATGTTATTAGACTTCCTAATTATGAGCTCAACAGTAGCTGAGGAACCAGCCCCAAAAGCACCTCTCATTCCCAATTACACCATGCTTTATTGAAATGAAGATAGCAGAAGTATTTCTTATAACACCAATATTAATGCACAAAGGTAGAAACTGGATTCTTCTGAAAATGCAGTAAACACTCTAGGCCCATGATTTAAAACTTAGAGCTTCTTACACTCTTGCATAAATACTGTAATTTATCACCTTCTATGACTCTCTGTCTGTGGGGAGTCAAAGCACACCCAGGACACAGGCACATGTTGTGCCACCCACCTCTCTGTTTCCAAACTGCCTGGGACAAAGTTCAGCAATGCCTATCACTATTTAACCAATACCAGTTAAGTCATGGAGCTCTGCACTCATCAGAATCTTTCAAAATGTGCAAACAATGCTTCAGCTCATTGCCTGTTCTCTGTCCTCTTCCCCTCTGCTTGCAACTTCACCATGTTTTCCACAGTTCCTTTTGGTGCTCCTGTGTTTTTTTGGTCTCTGCTGAAGTGCCACATTTGCTTCCCCCAGTTTCAAACTCTTTATAACACTGCATTGAACTGCACCAGAAGAACTGTACTACTGTGCAGCGTTCTGGTCAGTCTGAAATGCTGCTTGAATGCTCCATCATCTCTACCTTCACCTCACCATGTGGTGGTGGGCACCCAGCCAGGCCCTTTGGACAGCCCTCACTGTGCCATTGGGAAAGGCTGTTCTCTGATTTACAGTAAATTGTTTGGGGGTGCAAGCTGGCCTGGTGCCACTGGCTGGGCCAACACACAATCAATAGCACAGGATCCCATCAGCTCTTTTCAGAATAAATAGTGAACAGTGTGAAGCACAAATCCACTGTTTCAAGAGCTGCCTTGGCAAGGATACCACACAAGTAGCAGGGAATGCCAGGCCACGTTTCTGTTGCATCATCTCAGTGGGCTGTGCTTCCATGCAAGCGCTCTGTCTGCATTCGGAAGTTTTTCATTGTCTAATGGCCTCTCCTGGTGTTGCCACATGCCAGAGGCATGACACTGGAAGTGTAAACACACTCATGATATTTTTACAGAATATTTTTTGGATCTTACTCCCTTTATGACAATTCTACTACAAAGATCCATATGGGAGAACTGAGTGTTCACTTTGCATATGGGATAGTAACAACACAGATTTAATGGAGTTGTCCCTAAGCAGGTCTTCCCTAACAGCTAAGATCTGAGAGTTTCAAGAAGACACCAAGAGAAGCAGAGCAAAGGCTAGAATTAAACTGTCCCAAGCATTGTATCTTACTCAGCACCTGATGAAATTCCCTAATTGCCATTTACACTTTTGGTGTATGAATCTTTTTACATGGCTCAACGTCTAAGGACACATTACCATGACATAAACAATCAGGGTAATTACAGGAGCAGATCTTTTGCAACCAACACCACAGCTGATAGACTGGGTTTTTTTTACACAATGCAAAA